TGGGTTCTTAATTTGTACTACTTGTGCCCCACACTGGACTGGGTATTTTGCATAATCTTTTTAATCCCACAGCCACTCTGCGCATGGTATATGTTATGCCCTTTAATAAATGGAGAAATTGAGGTTCAGCAATGTCAGGCAGCCTGCCCAGGGCCACAGTGTGTCTTGGGCCTGTATTCAAACTAGGTCTCCTTGATTCAAAGCCTACCCTCTCTCCCAAGTCCTCAGGGCCTTTCTTCACTTCCAGTCTAGCTGATACAGTGCACTGGAGTGTGTGGTCTGTGAACATGGAAGGGAGGCAGGGGATCCCTCTCCTGGGGAGATCTTTCCTGGAGGTGCCTGCAGGAGGCAAAGTGGCAGCAGTGGGGCAGTGGTGGGAGAATGGTGGGTGTCTCTGTGTGAGAGCAAGAGGGCTGTAACTGGCCTAGGGGTGGGGGCAGAAAGCCAGGCCTGGTGGGCCTGGGCCTGTCAGGAAGTATCCTACTGAGATTGCACTGTGTGTGTGTGTATACAGACATATGCACATGAGCCTGTAGCTGTGCACATCTGTGCACACCCCTGGTGGGGTGTGCATACATGTTGGTGTCTGCTTGGCTCATTGGCTCATGTGAGCCAGCACTCTCAGCCTGTGTGGAGGTAAGACAACCTCCCCTCCTTCGCAAACTTCTGCCCTCCTCCTGCCCTTGGGTTGAGTGTGGTTCTTGGGCAGCTGAGTTCTGACCAGACCTTTGTTCTTTCCCTTGAAAGGAGTTAGAAGCAAATGTAGTGCTATGGAACTAAATTTAGCAGAAGTTGCTGACCTGGTCCCCTGCTTCCCAGTTAGACCACTTAAAGGATCTATAGCAGATGCCATATCATTGCATGTAGACAATGATGTCTTAAAGAAGAATGAAGGAGAAAAGAGAAAGGCTGGTAGCTAGTGGGGGACCCAGGGCCAAGGTAGGTCGTTTTGAAGATGGGAAAGAATTAAGCTTGCTGTGGGGAGGCAGCCAGGACAGAGTAGGGAGGAGGGATAGTTAATCGATGGTGCAAGGTCCCAGTCTTGGCCAGTATGGGTTCCAGGGCTGGGATGGATTGACTCTCAGCCTTCTGACTGCAAGGTTGATACAGATGTAGAGAAAGGTGAAAACAGAGGGCCAAGGCCAGGCGCGGTGGCTCACGCCTGTAATCCTAGCACTCTGGGAGGGTGAGGCGGGTGGATCGTTTGAGCTCAGGAGTTCGAGACCAGCCAGAGCAAGAGTGAGACCCCCGTCTCTACTAAAAATAGAAAGAAATTAGCTGGACAATAAAAAAATATACATAGAAAAAATTAGCCGGGCATGGTGGCGCATGCCTGTAGTCCCAGCTACTCGGGAGGCTGAGGCAGAAGGACTGCTTGAGCCCAGGAGTTTGAGATTGCCGTGAGCTAGGCTGATGCCACGGCACTCTAGCCTGGGCAATAGAGTGAGACTCTGTCTCAAAAAAAAAAAAAACAACAAAAAACCCCAAAAAAACAGAAGGCCAGAGATCAGGGATATTTGCCCAATGGCTTCATTTTTTCCTTCCTGGCTAAAATGGGAGAAATTTGCCTGGAATGGAAGGGCCAGTATCTGAGATTGAGTGCAGAGATCAAGCGGTCTGGATGAAGTGTCATGGACAAGGTCCCCCTGGGGAAGGGCTAGAGAGAGGGCTGAGCCCTGGAGTAGAAGAGATACAGTGGGTATGAAGCTGGCAGGACAGGGGTGGAGGACTGGAGGTGGCTTCCTGGAGTCTATTCCCGGGGATGACCAGGGCCAGAGTGTGTGGTGTGAGGGTGGGGATTTGAGTGAAGATTGCTGGGGGCCAGGGCAGGAGCCGGTGAGAGGGAGCCTGGCCCAAGAGTCTTTGGGGAATGAGGGGAAGGAGGACCTCACTGACAGCATGAAAAAAGGCAGAGGGGCTGGCAGGAGGTGAAGGAAATGCATGTGGACAAGTCCAGATCCAGAGCCTTCTTTAGTGTGTCTGTGTCCTTCAGAGGGGACACAGCTTGCAGTTTAATATGCTGTCATCAAGGTCAAATCTCTTTTTCCATGTTAATAAAGGAGCCAAAGCACAGATAACACTGAACAGAAAAAACAGTTTTGGGGTCCATGTAATAACACAATACTTGCATTTGTATAACTTTGACGTTACCTCTTAAGACCCTGCAACAGAACAACTTGTGATTTTTGATGTTCCTGGAAATTGCCATCTTTGGCACCAGCTAATGCCTCTGATCTTTGGAGATTCCTCTCAGCAAGAGCTGGAGAGCTGCACATCTGCCCTCCACAGACCTCATACTTAACTCCCTGAGTCTCCTGCCACTGGTGGCCACTATCGCCTTTCTCATGGGGGCAGAACAGCCTGGAGAACTTGCCTTCCTTTTTAACACATTAACTGCTGTGTGAGCTGTATTTACCTCACGCTAGTTTTGAGCCTGGGGCCTTGCGAAGCAAAACCTGGACAAAATCCTGCAGTTGGTTCATGCAAATCTTACTTGTTGATGTTCTATTATTACAATTAATATTGACAATTTAATTCTAAAAACGTGGATTAAATGAAGTCAATAAATTTTGTTTTTCTATTTATGTTTACCTTTAAATTACACTTAAGCCTGACAAGTCAAGAAAAACTTTACCCTTATGAACTATTTTTCAAGTTTTCACATTACTTTTTACATTACTGATTTTCAAGTTTTTATATTACTTTTCTATTGAAAGTAACAGAAAACAAAAAATAAATTTTTCATTAAATTAGAAAGGATCATTTTATTTTTGAAGTTTTAATTCTATTTTCATAATAAAACACCATGGAAAAAACATTTTTTTCCAGTGTGGCAGTCAATGTGTTAAGCTTTGGTATCTAAGGCTCATGCCTTCCCTAGGGCAGGACGATGAGAGTAAATAGTTTTATTTTCAAAGACTGTCTTCTCCCATTGATGTCAGGTCACTGCCATAGGAAGTAGTGAGAATCAACAGAGGTGGGGTGCTGTCAACAAGCTGCTGAAATAAGGCCAACTGTGGAGAACTGAGAATAGACTTAATTTCAGTCACTTTACCACTCCCCCACTTACATCCCCTTTCAAGGCCCTAGTGACCCGACATTTCTTGGTGCTTTCTACAGACTCACAGTGTATGGTTATTCAGGTTGTGCACTGCACCAGGGCCCTACTTCTAAGGGGGCACAAATCACACTTTAGACACTGTAGATGTGTAGATTTATGACAGTTTTCCAGAAGGTGGCAGTAAAGTGCCTTGAGGAAGGCAATAGGGCATCTGAGCTAGCATGGCCCTGGCTTTCAGGGTGCATTGTGCTTTGTACCTTTAAAGGTGTTGTTCCTGTGATCTGGGCTGACCTGCTCTGTAGCCTGTCTGGTCAACTTGGTCTCTCATCCTTCAAGGTCTAGTAAAGACACCATCTCCTTGGTGAGGTCTTCTCAACCAGGTGTGAAATGTCTCCCAGAGTCCCAGAGCTATTGGCACACACCTCTATTTTCTCACGCCACAGAGGACGTTGTCTACCTGTCTCCTGCACCTGGCTGAACCATCCTATTCACCTTTCAGTCTGTCTCCATGCCTAGCAAAGCTTGGGATTTGCTCAATAAAAATTTGTTGAAGAAAGGATATTGAACTTAGGAGAAGAGATGAACCTGTGAAGTAACTTGTCTTGTAAAAAGCTTAGGTTTGAGAAACAATCATCAGCAAAAACCATCTCTGGGTATGCCATGGGCTCATTTAGTCTTTGAGATTTTATCCTAGGATGAGGCCGGCCCATTTGGAGCCACGTGCCTGGATGGTGCTATTCCCTAGGCCCCAAACCCCTTTTACTAATGTTTGGCTTGTGCCTTGACAGGTACTAAGGGACAGTGTAAGAAACAGCTGTGGAAACTTTCTGTGTTGTGTTTACAACACAGATGTCAAGAAGGACATTGTTTATTACATCTCACAGACCTGCTTCCTGAGGTCCACGAAAAAAGGTTCTATGATCTCAATGTCAGGAACATTTTTGCTTCTTTTGAGTAATGGTGATTTTTACTTTGCAAAGTGAGTGTGATCTCATCTCCTTTATTTCGTTACTGAGAAGTTCAGAGACAAATCTGTGATTTAGTTTCTATGATGTGCATTGTTGAGTACCAACTTTCCCCTGTCTTCTCCAGAATGTGATCTGTATCATATTTTTGTACTGTGGCGAGACATACTGGGAATGAGGCAGGTGGCAGCACCTGCCCTGGGCACAGCCATTACCTACAGTTGGGTCTGCAACCCAGGTACTCTGTACTTCATCAGGCAGGGGCTAAAAGAACCAGTGGAAAGGAAGTGAATGGTTCTGGGTGGGCCAAGGAGGTTTCCCAGGAAGCAAAAGGCACCGCTGCACACACACATCCACATCTCTGATCTCAGGCCCTAAGAGAGCCTTGGAATCTCAGGGAAGGCTGAAGTGAATAGAGAATTTAGGAATATCAAACTGCTGGACCACTAGGCCAGGGACCCTAGGCAGCCCTCAGTCATCTTTACATAACCCTGGTGCCTCTGTATTGGCCAGCACATAGTGGGTGAGCTGCAAATATGTCACTGAATGAGCCTCGCCTGGGTTTGAATAGGCCCAGAGCTGGGGTGTCCCAGCCATTGCCTGATCCTTCACTTTATTAGGTCTGAAAGTAAGGACTGTGTGGCCTACAGAGGGCATGGCTGGTGTGGCCAGGACAAAATGATAACCATTGCCTACAAGGTGAAGTTGGGGCCAACCATGTCCTTTCCAGATCCCTCTTTGCTCTGAGGAAAATATTTTCAGATAACTTTAATCCTGGGACATAAAGGGTATTTGGTGCCTGGAGGAAGGGCCGCAGGAGGGTGGGACGGTAGGTGGTAGATGCTGGAAGACCAGCCTGTCCCGGGCTACAGTCTAAGTGGGCTGGCCTATGCCTGGCGGGCGGTCGGTGGAGCTCAGCGGCTCTGCAGGACCTCATCAGCTGCTCCTCCCTCTTGCCTGCAGCTCTGTCGAAAATGCACTGGACACCGGAACACGCCCAGCCCCTCAACCAGTGGCCAGAGCAGCACTTGGACGTCTCCTCCACTACCCCGTCGCCGGCCCACAAGTTGGAGTTGCCCCCTGGGGGTCGCCAGCGCTGCCACTACGCTTGGGCACACGATGACATCTCCGCCCTCACTGCCTCCAACCTCCTCAAGCGCTACGCAGAGAAGTACTCGGGGGTCCTGGACTCGCCCTACGAGCGCCCCACCGTGGGCGGCTACGGCGATGCCACCTTCCTCAACGGCGCCAAGGGGGACCCCGAGCCCTGGCCTGGGCCAGAGGCACCCTATCCCTTGGCCTCACTCCACGAGGGCCTCCCAGGAGCCAAGTCGGGCAGTGGGGGCGGTTCCGGGGGTCTCGGGGGCTCCCCTGTTTTAGCCGGGAACCTGCCGGAACCCCTCTACGCCGGCAATGCATGCGGGGGCCCGTCGGCGGCGCCCGAGTACGCGGCGGGCTACGGCGGGGGGTACCTGGCGCAAGGTTACTGCGCGCAGACGGGCGCCGCGCTGCCCCCGCCGCCGCCGGCCGCGCTGCTGCAGCCCCCGCCCCCGCCGGGGTACGGCCCCTCGGGGCCTCTGTACAACTACCCTGCGGGGGGCTACGCGGCGCAGCCCGGCTATGGCGGTCTCCCACCGCCCCCGGCGCCGCCCCCGGCCCCCTACCTGACCTCGGGCCTGCCCGCGCCCACGCCCCTGCCGCTGCCAGGGCCGCCGCGTCCGGCGCCCACCTCCTACAGCTTCCAGACGGCCGCTCCGGGCGCGGAGGCCGGAGTGTCGCTGAAGCGCAAAGCCGCCGACGAGGGCGCAGAGGGCCGCTACCGCAAGTACGTTTACGAGCCCGCAAAGGCGGCGGCCGACGGCGCCTCCTATCCCGCCGGGGACAGCAGCGAGTGTAGGGGCAACGGGTTCCGGGCAAAGCCGCTGGGAGCCGTGGAGGAGGCGTCGGGCAAGTACGGTGGCGGCGTCCCCGTCAAGGTCCTGGGCTCTCCAGTCTACGGCCCGCAACTCGAGCCCTTTGAGAAGTTCCCGGAGCGGGCCCCCGTGCCAGCTTCTCGTGGGGGCTTCGCGGTGCCGTCGGGGGAGCCACCCAAAGGTGTGGACCCGGGGACCCTAGAGCTGGTGACCAGCAAGATGGTGGACTGCGGGCCTCCGGTGCAGTGGGCGGATGTGGCAGGCCAGGGGGCGCTCAAGGCGGCGCTGGAAGAGGAGCTGGTGTGGCCCCTGCTGAGGCCGCCCGCCTACCCCGGCAACCCGCGCCCGCCGCGGACCGTCCTGCTCTTTGGGCCCCGTGGCGCTGGCAAAGCACTGCTGGGCCGCTGCCTCGCCACGCAGCTGGGCGCCACGCTGCTGCGCCTGCGCGGTGTGACCCTGGCTGCACCCGGCGCCGCCGAGGGCGCGCGCCTCCTCCAGGCTGCCTTCGCGGCTGCGCGCTGCCGCCCGCCCGCCGTGCTCCTCATTAGCGAGCTGGACGCGCTGCTCCCGGCCCGAGACGACGGGGCGGCTGCCGCGGGCGCGCTGCAGGTGCAGCTCCTGGCCTGCCTGGACGGCAGCTGCGGCGCGGGGGCCGATGGTGTGCTGGTCGTGGGCACCACATCGCGGCCGGCTGCTTTGGACGAGGCGACCCGCCGGCGCTTTGCTCTCCGCTTCTACGTGGCGTTGCCCGACAGCCCGGCCCGCGGGCAGATCCTGCAGCGGGCGCTGGCCCAGCAGGGCTGCGTGCTCAGCGAGCCGGAGCTCGCGGCTCTGGTGCAGGGCACCCAGGGCTTCTCTGGGGGCGAACTGGGGCAGCTGTGCCAGCAGGCAGCGGCCGGGGCGGGCCTCCCGGGGCTGCAGCGCCCCCTCTCCTACAAGGACTTAGAGGCGGCGCTAGCCAAGGTGGGCCCTAGGGCCTCCCCCAAAGAGCTGGACTCGTTCGTGGAGTGGGACAAAATGTACGGCTCTGGACACTGATGGCGCGCGGGGAGGCTGCGGGAGCCGCCGCTCCTCCCTCCCTGCCTTCTCCACTTAGGAGGGAGGTCATTGACCGAATCCGGCTGGGAGGGTGCCTGCCGAGTGGTGAATGTGGGGTGGGGGACGGGAGGGCTCTGCCGGTGGATTTTTTTTTCGTGGGAGGGAAAAGGCTTCTGCCAGGCAGATACATGCCATATGCGCCGTGTACTCAGGTTTTTCCTATTTATTGTGGACGAGAAGCTCGCCATCTCCGCTCGGCAGACGGGGCAGTCCTGGCATAGACTGGCACCCGGAGCCTCAGGAACTCCTGCTCTCTTGCCACAATTCTTTTGTCTCCTCACTATCTGAATGGCACCCTCCTCCTCCCCTCTCTCTCCATCCCGTTCTTTGCATTGCTTAGTTTTCTCTCCCTGTTGCTTTGTCACTGCCCCCCACCCCAGCCCCTCGCTGGCCCTGTTTCTCTTTTGCTCCTTCCTCTCTGCCCACCTCTCCATCCCTTGCTCTCCGGAGTCCCTGTACTTTCATGCCTCTCCCTGCCTTCTGTCCCCCTTACTCAGACTGCAGTGTCCCTTTGCAGGAGATCTGGAGGCCCAGGGGCTGAGGAGGAGGGGAGGAGGGGTTTCCCTTTCACCTGGTTGTCCCTCACCCAGTTGAAATTTGGGTGGGGGGATCGGGGTCAAGCAAAAAGAAAAACCCAAAGAAGGGGTTTTTGGGGGTTTGTTTTTGAGGGAAAATCCCAAAAATGTAGCTTGTTTAATATTTTAGGCCTCTTATTTTTGTAAGATTGTGTAGAATTTGCTGTTTTGTTTTTTTTTTCTTTTGACAACTCAGGAAGAAACTGACCTCAGAAAGAATGTTAGGCTTTTGCTGCTGCTCTCCTGTGTGTTCCCCCCACCCCACCCCACCCCAGGAAGCAAATTCTCCCAGAAGACTCAGAAAGTGAGACCTGTGGGGACGGGGAGAGGAAGACCCAGAGGCCTCACTCAAGCCCCAGCTATTCCTGGGACAGAAGCAGAATGTATTTCTAAGGGCTTCCTCCCCAGGTGCCAGGTTGTAGGCAGGGGTGTGGGGGAGTGGGAGGGGATTTGAGAGAGAGGGTAGGTCTTCCTTCCTGCTGCTCTCCTCTCTGGGACCCACCCCTCAGTTAGTGTTGTCTGCGAAGGGTTATCCAGAGTTGGGATGGCCTTGCCTGTTTCCTGCCCCAGACCCAGACCAGACAGTAGGCTGGGAAGGCACAAATGGGAAGGTAACCTCAGCAGAAAGTCCTCAGAGAGGTCATCTCACCTGGCCGCTGCCTTGGCAGAGATCCCCAGTAACTTCCGCTAAGGGAATCCCATCTGGGAAGACAGTCTGGCCACAAGTCTGGTTGTGCAGAAGGTGGACCTCAGCCACCTTCTCTGTTGGGAGGCTTGGAGGAGGGTTGGGCACCCTCACAGGAGAAGGTTCCCCTAGAGTCCTAGGCCTGGAGCCCTGGGGGCTGGGCGAGGGTGAAGGAGATAGGCAGAGTGTTTACCTGACATGGGAAATCTCTGTCCTACCCACACTTTACACCAGGCTAGAGCGCTTCTGTCTGGGAACCACATTCCTCTCCTTCCCACCAGTTTTCCCTTGGTGGGGTTTTAGCAGTTTGCTCCCCGCACCCAGCCCATATCACAGACCTGATCTTCAGTCCAAAGGGAGGGACACATCCTCCTCACCTCCTTTTCTCTCTCCCACCTTGGCCTCTCTTCCCTTTCCCTGCCTGCCCCTCCATTTCCTAGAGTCTGTGCCACCTCCCACTCCTGGCTGGGAGGATGTCCATGGGGGACCTTTCAGGTGCCAAGGTGCTGAGGGCTTGTGTTGGCCTAGACATGCTACAGGAAAGCTGCTCTGTTTTTCCCCTTTCCCTGCTTGCTCTCTCTCTGACCCTCCTCTCCTTGGAGCCAGCTGATCACAGGGCTTTGGTGCCTCAGAAGCAGTAGGCCCCAGGGTCTCAGCTGTGAAAGACCCTTGGAGGGAGCATGGAGTGAGGGGGTTCTCTCTCAGGTGTGTGTATGTATGGGGCGGGGGGTGGAGGGTGTCGGGAAATGGGGTTGGGATCCTACCTTCCCTTCAAGGGGCAGGCAGCTCTGCCCGAGACCCGGAATCCCCACCGCTTCCTTTACTGGGCTCTCTGTTCCCCAGGCCTGGGGAACTTTGCACAAGGAGACGGCCCCCAGGCTACTGACACCTACCTCATGGGCACTGGGGCGGGTAAGGGGAGGGCAGGTCCAACTCTGGCAGTGTTGGGGGGGCATACCAAAGAATCCAGGGGCAGGGTGTGGGGAGGGCAGACTCAGTAAGCTGGCCCTCTCCTTCCTCTACCCAGATTGGGGTTGGGATCCTCTCCTCCAGCTGTAACCATTTCTACCTCATTTTGCTGCGTGTTGTACATGGACGTATTTATCTCCTGTCTGACGATGCTCTGCAGTTGTGGTCTGTCTACCTCAGAAGAGACTGTATTTTAAAAGAAAGTATTACACAGTATTAAAGCGATGACGTGGTTTTCAGAGGATTTCTTGGGGACAGTGGGATGTGGGGAGCCCTCTGAGAAATGCCAGGGCACCCAGGTCTGCTAGTGCCCTGCGTGGGGCCCTGTGGGTGTTTCTATTCCTTCAGCAAAAAGTTATCCCAGGACACCTGTTATTTGTTCCGGCACAGTGAGTACCTACCCCGAACTGGGCACTGAGGCTGTAGAGTGAAAAGCCTCCGGATAGGGAGGCCCTCCTGCAATTCTGAACTCTAGAGGCTCAGAACCGAGATTGACTCATCGTATTGAGGGGCAAGGAAGGGCTCACATGTTTGTTGAATGACTAAATGAATGGACAGATGAATGCATGGAGGAAAGGGGAGCTGAAGAGGAGGAGGGGTCACCCAGAACCTGCCGCATTCTTTGTTGAGCAGAGCTAGGGCTAATACTTGTATTCCACCCTTGGGTGGAGCGCAGGGAGCAGAGGGCAGGGTGTGGAGACAGCCGAGTTCCAGTGTGCCAGGTCACATGAGATCCTTTGCCCACCACCCCACCATCTATCAGTCCTCAGACTCTACCTTTGACAGCTTGTCATAACCTGGGAGACTGAGAAAACCAGGAAGGAACACTTGCTGAAAAGGCTGTGTGGAGTATGCCTGGGAGAGATTTGGACCCACAACTTCCTAGGTCCTTGAATGCTCTCAGCAAAATTGTTGAAAATGCATAAGAGCTCAAGGGAGGCTGTGCACCCGGGCTCCCTGCTTAGGGCTTACCACAGGCTTGCAGGAGGCCAAGCAGCACCAGAGAGACCCTGCCAAGCAAACAGCTGCTCCTCCCAGAGGGACAGATATGGTATGCCTGGATGTGGGGGCTCTAGGGCACTGCCCAGGGTTCGGTGACCCCAACTCTCAGGCCCTCAGGTCCAGACCCACCCCCCAACTCCTCTAGTTTATTATACACCTACTTTGTGCAGATATTGTGCACGGCACTGAGAATACAAAAAGGGTCAAGCACAGCCACTGTTTCTGGAGAGCCCACAACCCAGGTGGGAAAAGCGCAACAACAGATCATTTAAAAATACAACTTGATAAAGCTGCTTGGGGTGGGGGGGGCATATAAAATTAATCTTTATATTCATACATCTGGCATGATTACCTGGTACATAGAAGACACTGGGTAAAGGTTTGTTGAATAAATCCTCTAATTAATTTCCAGATAAGTGCCTTGATGGAGGATGCACAGGTTATCTCAAGAAAAGATCTGACTCCTGGTGGTGTAGTGGGGCACCAGCCTTCCTAGACAGGAGGAGGGATAGCTGGGTAAAGTAGGGAGGCTAGAATCGGCACCATATATGCAGGGCTGTGCCACCAGCAGTGATGTGGTACAAGACAAAGTGTGGGCAGGAGTGGGAGAAGTGAGGCTGGAGGAGTCACCTGCGACCTCACCACAGAGGACCTTCCATGCCCTGTTACAAACTGGGGCTCCATGATGAAGCCTTTGTAGGGGTGAGGGGCTGGCTGATTTGCAAGTGGAGTTCATAGGTTGATTCAACAAGTCTTTACTAAACACCTATTATGTACTAGTTGCCATGGGGACAGGGTGGACCTTACAGTCTACTGGGGGATACATTAAGAAGGCAGAACTGCAGGGTGCTGTGGGAGCAGACAGGAGGGTCCCTAATGGAGACACGGCTAAGGAGTGTCCAAGAGTCAGGCAGGGCTTCCCAGAGGCACCTGGCAGCAGGGGGCGTGGCCCACCAGCCAGAGCGCAGGCCCGGATCCCAGGGAGAGGCGGAGCCAAGCTTCCTTCCGGGAAAGGAAACCAGTTTAGGTAAGCAGGACCCTGGTGTGTGTGTGGGGTGGGTGGGATGGGGACTGGAGGAGGTGCTGACCTTATCCAGACAAGAGAGGCTGAGGGTTCGGACTAGTGTCGGGGTGGCAGAACGGGAAGTGATGGAGTCACTTACTAAATACTAAACATGTAGTATTTGGTGGGTAGAGAGAATTTAGGAAAAGGTTGGATATTGGGGATAATGGAGACCAAGGGATCCAGGGCTTCTGGAGGAGGGTGAGGAGGCGGGCGGTAAATGAATTAGAAGAGATGTGGGGACTTGCTAAGTTCGAGGTATCAGTGGGACAGCCAGGAGGTCTAAGGCGGGCGCGTCAGTGTGAGGGCCCGGAATCCTAGCCTCCTGGGGGCTAAGAAGTTCACCCACCCCTGGGTATTGCAGATCCTCTCCAGTTCCTGACTTTTGTGAGACCCTTCTCCAACAAGTTCCATGATTTAGAGCCCCCCAATCCCCGTCCGTGGATATTGGGAGCCCCTGTGTGCTGGGAGTACGCTCCTCCGCTTCCGTCCCAGTCCCGGAATGTTCGACGTCGCCCCCGGCCACAATCCGCGGCCACAATCCGCGGGTGTTAGGAGCCCCTCCCCCACCGCGGGCGTTCTTCCCGCCCGGCCATGGCAGCGCGGGCTCTGGCGGGCGCCTTGGTCCTGGCGCTGTGGGGCTGGACGCTGGGGCCGGCTGGGGCTGTGGATGCCATGGGCCCCCACGCAGCCGTCCGTCTGGCGGAGCTGCTGACCCCGGAGGAGTGCGGCCACTTCCGGTCGCTCCTGGAGGTGCACCCGCCTGACGTCGAGGCCGAGCTGGCCCGGCTTTCTGAGGACCAGCTGGCGCGGCCCGGGCCGCTGCCGACCACCTCGGGGTCGTCTGGCCGGCTGTGGAGGCGGCGGCGGCGGCGGGAGGCGGCCGAGGACCCGGCGGAGGACACGGTGGGCAGGTCGCCCGAGCCCGGGGAGGTCTCCGACGGCTGCCGGGAGGCGTTGGCGGCCTGGCTGGCTGCCCAGGCCACGTCCCTGTCTTGGGACCGCGTGGCCCGGGCCTTGCGGCGTAGCGGACGCCCGGACGTGGCCAGGGAGCTGGGCAAGAACCTTCACCAGCAGGCGACGCTGCAGCTGCGCAAGTTCGGGCAGCGCTACCTGCCGCCGCCAGGCGCCGCCGCTCCGGGCGCGGCCCCCGCCCCGGCCCAGCGCCCCCGGCGCGCCTCGGACCCCACGCCGAACTGGGACGCGTTGGAGCTGATCGTGGAGCGCCTGCCCCAGCCCCCGTACGAGCGGAGCCCCACGGGCTGGGCCGGGCCGCTGGCGCTCGGCCTCCTCACCGGCTTCGTGGGGGCGCTGGGCACCGGGGCGCTGCTCATCCTGGCCACGCTGTGGATCACGGGCGGCGACGGCGACCCGCCCGCCACTCCCCGGCTCGGGCCCGCCGAGGCGCAGGGCTGCTGGGAAACGAAGCCGCTTTTGACTAAACAGCAGCTCACGTCCCCGGGGGCCTGGGCTGCAGGTGGGCCAGATCCTCCCTCGCCTCATGCCCTCCACTGTGAAATGGGAGCACGGTCCTGGTGGAGTGCTGCTTTGGACGGATTATAAAAGTTACGAAATACAGAAACAACGGACTAGTCGGTTTGTTTGTTGGAAATGAGCGGCAGGGCGAGTGGGGCTGCTGATGGAAGAGGAGGGGCTCCAATGCCAGGGTCCCAGGGTGGGAGGCGGACCGCCCAGTTCTTGTGGGCGCAGTTCCTTCTCATCTTGCGATGGTTCTTCCACTAAGAGGTACCTACCACTTACTGGGCACTGTGTGCCAGGCTCTGTGCTAAGCAGTCACATACATTATCTGATAGACTCTTCTAAACCCAAGAGAAAGGTTATTATCTCCATCACACATACTGAAACTGTGGTCACAACTAGTTAATGGCATAGTTAGGTTTTTGACACCAGAGCCATCTGACCTGAAAGTTTGAGCTCCAGAAGGAATGGTCTGTGTGCAGTAAGTGGGCCTGAGAAACACGATGGGGAAAAGAACAAGATGTGTAGCTCCCCGTCGGGTTTACTCTGGGACCCTGCTGGAGTGTGAGCAGCTAGAGTGTGTCCACTTGCAGGGCACTGCCCCCAGTGTGCTCGCCCCACTCAGGCAAGGCCTCCTGAAGTTCTAAGTGGAGCCCCAGACCTTTCCCACCTACCTCCGAGTGGCTGGGGCACTGCCTGCCCAGCCACATAGCTGAACCTGGTGAGCCCCCATACCGTCTCTGCCACAGGGGACAGCAGATGAGAGCTGTGGGGTCCTCGGAGGTGGGAGTGCTGACACCCATCCACCCTGGGCCAAGGGGCTTTGGGGTGAGAGCAGTGACAGAATGACAGGCCAATCCAAGAGGAGAGTTGAAAACAAGATTGACGTAACCCTTTATTGCAAATTCTAAAGTAAAAAGATGTACAGTACAAAGTAAAATTGAAATTTCGTACTATAAACTTCCAATCCACTTATACATTCTCATTTCTCAAGCATTTCTGCCATTTCCGCATAAACAGAACAAGGAACAAGTCGAGGGGGTGAGGGAAGGAGATACAGCAAGGGAAAAAATTGTCTAGAATAATCACAAACCCCAGAAGCAAGTGAAAGGAAAGACATTTTCTCGACCTGCTGTCCTGGTGATGAGAAGCGGGGGTGGTTGGAGCAGTGCAGTTTAAAATGGCTCTCAGAATAGCAGCATTTATGGTACCATTTCAGCTTCCTGAAGTCCAAATAATACTTTGCCCTTCCCTAGCGCCTTTGCCTCTGTATCTCAAAACGCTTTACAAAACATTTAGTTAAAGCCTCACAACACCCCTGTGAGGTAGGTCAGTATTATTATCCCCATTTTACAGATGGGGAAACTGAGGCACAGAGAGGCTAAGTGACTTGCCCAAGGCCACACAGCGAGCCAGTGGTCAAGTTAGGAATAGAACACAGGAGTTCTGTCCCATTTCTGGAACCACTGGACCACGCTCCCCTTTACCTATATACATTCTTCACACACACACACCACATGTGCACGCCCGCCCACCCCTCCCCACTTAGCCTCTATGTACAGCAAACAGCAGTGGGGGGCAGGGGCCGGGGGTGCCTCAGGAGCGGTTTAATGGAGGAAATCTTGGTAATCTTGGAAAGGGAATCCAAGGAAGCACAGAGCTGAACAACATGGACTCTATTGCAAACCTTGGCCCCCTCCCAATCCAGACTTCCTCTTCTCTCCTGACTTCCCCCTGGCTGGCTAGTTGCAGCCAATTATTTAGGGGGTAGGGGGTACCTGAAAATGAACGAAGCTTTTTGCAAAACTTTGGGCAACATCTGAGAAAAGAAAGAGGCATCATTACAGAAGATGCCCAGGACTCAAGTCACAAAAGTCATAACCCATGGCAATCTCACCTCCACAGCAGGCCTGGAGGCTGGGGGCCGAGGGGAGGATGGGGACTGACCTACCAGCCATCTCTCTCCAGAGTGGAGCTACTGGAGCAGACTAGAGTGGGCACTTCAAGATCCTCCTGAGAGAGTGTTCCTGAACCAGGAGACATGGCCTAGGCCTAGAGAGGGATGTCCCCAAAAGGGGGCAGAGAGAGGAGGGGGAAGGGTGCCCCCTCCCCTGTGCAGATGTGAAGCAGACCAGCCCTGGTCTGCTGGTCTGTGGGGCGATGGAGGGAGGGCCCAGCGCTAGCTAGCAGAGTGGAGGTCATTGGGCATCGTGCTTGCCCTAGCTTTGGGGCATGAGGGTAGTTTTTTTCTTAACATACTAGTGAAAAATGCAGAAGTAAGGCCAGTCCAGCTGAGTTGGCTGACAGTATCTCTGGGGGCTCTGCCAGGTGGATTAGATGAGGAAGTGTTTTAGGCCTCTGAGCACCGGCCGGTGGTGGCAGGTGAGGGGGCGGCACATACAATGGGTGAGTGGAGACCTGGGGAGTCAGGACCTTGCTTTTCTTTCTGGTCTCTACTTCTCAGCCAGAACTTTGCGAGAGACTCTCTGATTTCTCTCCCTTCTATGCCCCTCCTTTCCCCAAATGTGCTAAGGTCCCAATTCCCAGACTCCTCCTAGGACTCAAGAATCGGGATAGTCAAGCAACAAACACACACCAAGACAGGCTTCCCTTGTACAGTAAAAAGGGTCATTTTTATTTTGTTTCCTTTTGGCTTAGAGTAGTGATGTACTTTTTATCACGTCTCATGTGGGGCAGCGTTGGCCTCCATGCATTCGTAATACACTAATCTTCACTATTGGTCTTCTGCAGGTTTACACTGGTTGCAGCGAAAAGTAAAAGAACTTGGGGCACTGTCGCTCCAGGGGCTGTGAATGGGAGTTTCTGTTTATCTCTTCCCAGTCAACTTCTGATGCCAAAAGTGGCTCATTTAGAAAGGAGTGAGAGTAGGTCATGTTGACTTGGAAAGTTTTTCCTGCTCTCACCTTCTGCTTTAAATTATGGAGTCTCCTCATCTTAAGCAACTAGGAGGTTAAGGGAAGAAGAGGGGGAAAGTGTTTTTCACACACAAACCAGCAACCATGTCAGCTGCTGCTCAGTGGCTTTGGCTCTGCATTTTAAATTAACAGCATCACACGTCTTTTTGCTTTTTGTCCTTTTTTTTAAAGGTGGATTGTGGAGTATAAATACTGCACCAAGGACCTGGCTACAAAAAATAAATATTTATATTATATTTATATATCTATATATATATATGTGCAGTGATACTGTGGCTGCTGCAGCTTTTTGATTGGCTTCATTAATATTTGGCAAAGCGTTGCCACTTACCCACTCAGTGAAGACGTACAAAAACGTCATCACTGATTCTCTCAGTTCAATGCCTGTTAACTGCGGGTGTTAAACTGCTGGTGATGGTGTCATTTACTACCAAAGAAGTGTGGAGCAGGATGGGTGAGTGAGAGACTGAGTGAGCAGGTGGAGGACAGTGGGTGAGGGATAAGAAGGTGGGAAAGTTTTTTTTTTTAAAAAGTGAAACTTCAAATAGAGCGAAGGTGGCTTCTTTCCTATGAGGCTGGCTGATGGGTGCCAGATACCAAGGCCCGTGTGTTACTGAGCAGATAGCCTGCTGGGCTGGGATCAGGAACTGGGGAAGGGAATAAGTCAGATCTCAGAAAAGTCTCGTCATTATCTCTCCCAGCTTTACAACATCACTAGCATGAACACTGGGCGTACCCAGAGGGATCTTATAGCTCTGTTGCCCATCTCAAGACCTAAGAACAATTAGTAAGTTTAGCCAAATCTTGCATAGAAGTGGTTAGAATTTATTGCACATTGGAACAAAAATATATATTTTTTGTTTTGGAAAAGACCATTAGCAATAAAAAATTTTTTGTCTGTCTGTCTGGTTTGGGGATGTACATTGGCTGACAGCATGTAAGTTCTAAGAAGAAAGAAAAGTATAAAAAATAAAAATAAACATGACAATGGCATAAGCCAGAAGCCATTTCCTATTTAATAAGTTAATAATTTGTATTTACAAAAAGGCATGCCAATAAAATAAAATTATATATTACAGTATTTATAATTCTCTTAAAAAGAATAACCACACGTCAGCTTCTGTTTTGTGCTGTTTACAATGTAGCCTGTACATGTTACTATACATTCATCCTAGCAGTTAGCAGGGGCAGGAAAGAAATGCCTTCCCAATCTGGCATTGGGTGTAGTAAAAAAATTCTACAGATGATGCTGCAGAGGCAGGCTTAAGAGAGCTGGACAGTTTCTAATGGTCCAACAAGCTAGAAAGCTCTGCTTACTGACTTGCTGTGGTTTGTTCTATGCAAAACTAGTCAAGGGGACTGTGAAATTACCTCCAAAGTGCATCTACTGCAAGGCAGATCGGTGTGTCTGGTTATGGGTTGGTTTTTTCCCCCCTCTGTTGTATGGTTCAGGAAGAATTTATTTTGATTTGGTTGGCATGCTAAAGTCTCTCCTCATTCTTTGTACAGACTTCCTGACACATTCAACTGCAGCATCTTGGCTTTGAAATCTAGTCAGCAGATGAGAAACCCCTGGACTAAAAACTGTCTTCCCTAAAGCAGGGGATGGAATGGAAGATATGATGCTCCCCTAGAAGCCACCCTCCAATGACAATAGGCAGGTCGCTAAGCAGATAGCAAAACTGGCTGCAAGAGAATGCGCTGGGGGAAGCCGGAACGTCCTAAAGAATATTAAATTGCTTTCTCATGAAAACCAGTGCAATAAAGAAACCAACTGGGCTTAGTTCAGAGGCGGCTTCCTCTCTACCTCAGGTCCCACCAGTGATTATTATTCTAATAATAAATGAAAGAAATCACAGTCATAACCCCAGTGCTGCTGCCCTTACCCACCTCCGTGAGTAAGGGAAGCCCTGCTCGGTGAACAAATGTGATGGAGGCAGGAGGAATCATGCAGTGTATAAGCTTTCGACAACCCCTCTGCAGAAGAGAAAGGTCAGTTAAGAATATCTGAACCCCTCTCCATGCCGACCCAAGCCTGGGGAAAGCCACAATGCAGAGGACATGATACTAAATGAAGTGGGCACCCCATAACTCCCAATGAAAGGTCATTTTAAGTTCCCCAAATTACCCCCTAGAGATAACAAGCTA